TGGTTGTTAAACACTTACCAGAATAGCACTGCCACCCATTCACCCTTCTGCCTAAGCAGGAACAAGAGGCGGGAGGAAAGGTTGGGCCATTTCTTGCCCCACTACCTCCCTGCCTTGTCTTGGCTCTGGCATTCTCCTCCTGACTGTGGTGCCATCTTAAAGCCCTCCATTCCCTCCCATCCTTGCCCCTGTTGCTGGCCCCTGGGTGCCTCACCATCCAGAACCCTGCTCAGCACCCCGTTAAACTCTCAGCTGGGCTCTTGGAGCACTCTGTGTTTCTTTCCAGTTCCAGAGTGACTAGGCTGCCAGCTGCAGATTTTGCTAGAGCCCCAGATCCTCTGGGTTGTACCTTCTCAGTGTATTCCAGCCTGATATCCAGCCGCCGGCATCTGCACCTCCCAGGCTGAAGTTGTTTATAGCTAGGGCATTATTGCCTCCTGGGAGTGACCTCCAGGGGTAAAAGCCAGAGCTTCCCCCACCCTCTCAGGTGGGTACACTGGAGCACGTGTGCACAGAGCTCTCCAGTAGGCTGACCTCCATTGCCCACTGGCTTGACGACACACCCCTTATTAGCCACCTTTCCTCCTGTATTAGTTTCATAGGGTTGCTGTGACAAAATACCACAGATTGGGTGGCTTAAACAATAGAAATGAGTTTTCTCACAGTTCTGGAGTCTGGAAGTCCAAGACCAGGGTGTCTGCAGGGTCTGCTTTTGGTGTACTCTTTCCTGGCTTGCAGACGGCCACCTTCTTGCTGTGTCCTCACACGGCCTCTTCTCTGGGGAGGAGGGGTGAGCAGGAGAGGGAGAGAGGGAAGGAGAGAGATTTCTGGTGTCTCTTCCTCTTATAACAACATCTGTCTGATTAGGGCCCAACCCTTGTGACCTCATTTAACTTTACCTCCCCAAAGGCCCTGTCTCCAAATACAGCTACACTGGGGGTTGGGATTGCAACAAAACAATTTTGTGGGGACACAATTCTGTCCACAACACCTGCCCTGCCTCGTGATGCTTCCTGGGGTCCTGGGGTCACTTCCCAGGAAATGACTTGCCTAAAATTCTTGTCTTGGGTCTTCTCTAAGGTGCTGCTGTGGATTGCAACAAAACAATTTTGTGGGGACACAATTCTGTCCACAACACCTGCCCTGCCTCGTGATGCTTCCTGGGGTCCTGGGGTCACTTCCCAGGAAATGACTTGCCTAAAATTCTTGTCTTGGGTCTTCTCTAAGGTGCTGCTGAACGTTCTGGTGCCTGCAGACTGCCCTCTCTAGACCAAGGCTCTTTAATCAAAGATGGCACACGTGTCCTGTACTGCCACTCACAGGAAAGATGACAGGCCAGTGTGATGGGTCCCAGCCTCCGCCAAGGGTGCACAGCTCAGGAGTGGTCTCTCTCCTCCTCATTTCCAGCCTGGGGCACTGCGGCATTTCTGGCCTCCTTGATGCTGCCTAGGGGACTCTGTCAGTTCCAGCTGGCCTGCTGCCCTGGGGGGTGGGAAGCTGCCCAGGGGACCAGTCCTGGGACTCTGCTCTCACATCTGTGTCCAGACACAGCCCACGGGGAGGGCAGAGGTCTGTGGTGTGGTAGGGACAAAGCCTGCCCTGGTGGCCTCCCTCAGGTCCCAGCCTGGCCCAGCCTTGTGTCGACGAGAAAGGAGGTGTTCTTCTCCCTCAGAGTCCAGGATCCTGGTGGGCAAGGCTTCCCAGAGCAGGCTGAGCCGCTCCTCATTACTGATGCAGCCCTAGGCGCCCTCCTGAGCAGCTCCATCCAGACGTGAATACCTATCGGTTTTAGAGCAGCAGGGATGTAGCACCTAGGCAATGGTGGACTGCAGGAGTGAAATGTTCCTACCTTACCCCAAATGGTCTAGATATTTGCATTCTGGAGCCTTGACTAACCTTTTTCAGTTTAGATCGCTCCTTGAGGAAGACTCCCTCTTGCTTTCCTGGGTGGTGGCTGGGGAGGGAGGCAGATTTCAGGAAGTACCTATGGTGTCTCCTGCCACCCCAAGCATCCGGGGCCTGCCGCGCACACACCACCACCTCGAGTCTGGGTGTTGAAGTCTAAGGGGCAATGTTAGCCTGTTGTTTGTGTCCAGCGTGAGATGGGATGAGGAGCTAGGGGGCTAGTGACATGTGTCCATCTGCCAACCACTGGCCCTGTGTGGCTGTTTATATTAAAATTAAATAAAAGCTAAAATTCAGTTTTTCAGTCTCATCAGGCACATTCAGGCCCTCAAGAGCCTCAGGTAATTAGTGGTCCCCATATTGGGCAGCACAGATATGGAGCATTTCCATCATTGTAGAAAGTCCTCCTGGCCAGTGCTGGCCTGGTCCAGCCCTGGTTGTCCCTTATGGGTGGGCACCTCTCAGCACTCGTGGACTAAGTGCCCTCTGGATGCTTATCACAAATGTGCCTTCCTGGAGTGACCAGTCCCTAGCCTGACTCTTAGTACCCATGGCCTCCTTCTCCACCCCAGGTCTCCCCTTTCAACTCTGCTTCTGGCCCAGGGGCTGGTCCATCCTGTGCTCCCAGGTGGGTGCCCTGAGGATGGGTTTACCAGCTGCCGTCAACACTGCCCGGATGAGGGCTAGGGCAGGGGACAGGGTGGGAGTTCCAGGTGCTACCCCCTGCTGAGCCCGTGTGGTGGGGGGTGGTACCACCTGGGACTGTGCCTACAGTAGGACACATGTGCCCCTGGAGAACAGCCAGAGGGTCTAGAGGGAATTGGCATATCTGTCCTTCCCCTGAAATTTATTTGTTGAAGTCCCAGTCCCCAGCACCCCAGTGCTGTACTTGGAGATAAGGTCTGAAAAATAGGTAGCCACCTGGCTCCTGACCCTAGAGCTTCTGATTCCACAGGTCTGCAAAGACCTTGGGACACATACAGTTGACCCTTGAACAACATGGGGGCTGGGGTGCCTACTCCCACACAGTATGAATCTGTGTATAACTTATGACTCCCCTAAAACTTTACTAATAGCCTGTTTACCAGAAGCCTTATCGATAATATAAACAGTCAATTAACATGTATTTTGTATGTTGTGTGTATTACATACTACATTCTTACAAAGAAATAAGCTAAAGAAAATATTTTTTTCAAATTGTTGCAAATCTCCAAAATATTTTCCAATATATTCTTTTGAAAAAAAAAACCCTCATATAAGTGGACCCATGCAGTTAAAACCTATGTTGTTCAAGGGTCAACTGTATGTTGTAAAACTCCCAAGATGATTAAAAAAATTTTGAGTTAATTTGAAACTTACAGAAAAGCTGCAAAAATAGCACAGAGAGTTCCCATGTGCCCCTTACCTAGCTTCCCCTATAACTGCCTGTTACACAGCCACAGCACGACAACGAAATGCATGGACTTAACCGGGCTATGATACTATCAGCCATATTGCAGACATGACATGCATTCCATTTTCTGCCCTAGGACGCTGCCTAGAACACATTGCACTTTTGTTATGATTCTCTTTATTCTCTTCCAATCTGATCTCCCAGATGATGCTGATAGGGTGGTTCAGGGGCATCGCTCTGGGACACACTGGTCCATGGATTTGTCCTAGGATATAGCAACATGCTGAAGATTTGGGACCCACGATGGGCAGGTGTTGAGGGAGGGGAAGGAGAAATAAAGATCCAGGAGTGGTGCTTCAGGGGGCAGGCCTCAATGTGTGCATGCATGTGTGTGTGTTTGCATGCTCTGCATACATGTGTGTCTGTGTGTGTGCTTATGTGTGTGCACATGAGTGCATGTGCATCTGTGCAGGTGCGTGCATGTGTTGTAGGCATCTGTGTGTGTGTGTTTGTCCATGTGCGCCCATGTATGTGTATGATTGGGGTGTGATGGGCAGCGAGACTGATGGGGCTTGAGGCCTGTACAGGAAGCCCCCAGGGAAAACCCAAAATTCTCCACTACCTGATAAATATTTAGCATAGTAACAAAAGGCGAATGTTAAAGATTTTTAAAGACAAGGTGAAACTAAAGTGCTATTCATCACAGGAAGCAGGGGAGGCCCGTAAGGATGGGTGAGGTGCATTGAAACAGCTTAAATCGTGATGATTCAGGGCAACTGTTTAGCATATGGGACATGCTAATTAACTTCAAGTTTCTTGGGTTAAGTATCCATGTTAAAAATGTCAGAGCACCCACTAAAATACGAGAAGTAGAATGTGTAACTCCCGAAACAGTGGAGGGGAAGGGAGTAAGGAACGCTAGCCAACATTCACCACGAGCTCGCCATGTGCCGGTGCTCTGAGTTCTGCCTACAGCCCTCTGGGTTAGGACTATCTTTTATCTCCATCTCACAGATGGGAAAGCAGAGGCGCCTAGAAAGGGAGCCTGCCATGCATCACCAGGCAAGAGGGTGGTAGGTCACCACTGTGGGTCACCTCCAAGTGGGCAGTGTCAGGATGGGGGTCCAGGCAGTTTGGCTCCGTGACCTCGAGCTCATTGTCACTATTTAGGAAAGAAGAAGAAGGAAGCCAGGGCAAAATATGGAAAATGGAGACATAACAGGGAAGATGTTCTACAAAGCCAGTCTACATGCTGCAGAGAAGGAAGCTGGGGCTCCCAGGCTGTGTGGCCAAGGTCACGTCAGGAGGGAGGGTGGATGGGGTCAGGCCCTGGTATAGCCCGTTTTCCCACCCAGCCCTTCACCCTGAGAGATAGCAGCAAAGAATTAAAAGTAGAGACTCTGGGTGGATGGTTATATATACCTTTCAGTATGTGATATAGTTTACCTTTAAAGCAGTTTGTTTTTATGGCATTTGCCCCCCACCCCCCACCCCCACTTCATTTGACACAGAGACCAGGAGGGGACAGTTTTCACATGCTGCGCAGAGGATCCTCATCAAGGAGGTGACATTGGAGGAGGTGTGGGTGCCACTTTGAAGGTCTAAATGCTGTTCCAGGAAGAAGGAACAGCCAGGGATGACCCCTTGATTTTGGATTTCTGGCCTCCAGAAAGGTGAGAGACTAAATTTCTGTTGTTTCTAGCCACCCCCCAAGTTTGTGGCCCTTTGGTACTGCAACCACTGGAAAAGGACACAGTAGTGTTGTGGAGGCAACAGCCCAACTAGTTCAAGAGAAGGTAAGAGAGAGGTGGGGTCTGGTGTTTTGGGGCAGGTGCTGTGCACGTGTGGCTGAGATGGTGGGGGTCTAGGAAGGCTCCTTCCTGCCCACCTCTATTTTCATGAAACAGGGTGGACATTTTCCATGTCTTCACATTTTAAATCATTTTGGAATTTTTAATATAAACGGATGGATTATTGAAGACCATTCCATTATTCATCTGGTGAGACATTCTTGCCTTTTGATAGCAATCATTATTTCCTACCAATCCCTTGAAATGCTCTGGGCTACCTGGCACCACCTGCCCACCTTCCTCTCCAGGAGCTGGGGAGGAGCGCCTGCCCTTGCAGACTCTGAGCACTGTGGGGACAGGAGCCCAGTGCCCGGGGCCTGGAAGAGCAATAGGTTCTTGGGGCAAAGGAGGCTTGTAACTGTTGGGATTTCAAAAAGCCAGCACTATCTTGCAATGACCTCACATTGTTGTTTAAAATTACAGAATTTACTTTTTTAAAAATTCCAGAATTTAATCATCATCCTCAGCATAAAAATAAGAGGAGTGGGTCGTGGGTCAGAAAAATACTGATATAAACACAGGACCACAGGCCTCAGCTTAAGGTAGGAAGTACGTTTGTTCCCCTGGCTGGGTGGAGTGGATTCTGGCATTTAAGCAATTGCTTTGTGCAGCCAGGCACCTGAGCACCAGCCAGCCCATGGCTCCACTTGTGTGGGTGCAGCCAGGACATGGGACCATCCTGCCAGAGGATGCAGAGCCTGCCCTGCTGAGAGATGATGCAAAGCTCCCAAAAGGGCCTGATGCATTCATGTGGCCATGAATCCTGGCCAGAGTGACACTTGTCCTGGTTCTTTTTAGCCCCTGTAAGGGTTTCTCCAAGGCAATTTCCACTACACACACATTTTGCTGGGAGTGTCAATTTATCACCCCCAAGAAAGCGGTGGCGTCCTTGTAAGGGTTAATACACTCATCTGTCATTCATTAAAAGCATTACTGAACTTCTGCCCTGCATCAGGCACCCTGCTTAGTGTCCAGTCAAACAATTGCTTCTCAAATAGAGTGACCACACAAGGCCAGATTATCTAGGTAATTGCCTGGAGGGTTGAGAGTCCCCATGGATTAGAGGTCCTTATTCGGTGTAACAAATTTGGATGGGGTCAGCCCCAGGCTGAAATAAGCTTTCAATGTGGCTTCTTGTGAACACAGCGAACCATCCATCAATTCTGTCCCACTTCCCCAACAGAGTCACTTCATGGGATGCAGACAGGTCTTCAAAACGTTTCCGCTGCTGAGGAAAGAAGACAGGTGTTCCAAGACCTTTGTTTTCATCAGCGCTGCAAGCATCTCACTCCTCAAAGCCAGACAGCGTCCACCCTTTTGACCTCACCCTTGCTCTATATTTTGTATTGCCAGCAAGGCTGCCTGCCAACAAATGAATTATCAGGTTCCACATCCTAACCTTCTCTGCTCTAATCTGCCACTCCTTTCCTGGTTTGTACCAGGAGGCATTCCTCATAAGACATTTATCTGCCTGGAAGGCAGGGAGGAAGCCGGCCCTGGCTCTGTATTATTAATGTGGGGTTTTCATCTTTATGCATAGGATACGTTGTCTGGGACAAGTCAACTGCTGGATCTTCCAGGGGATTACGAAGGAAACATTCCCATACGTATGTTCCAAATAAAAAAATCTATCTGCTGAATGAGGGGTTGCTAAGGGGAAATTCGCCCAACAGCTGCCTTTTTATTATGATGAGAAGGGAAGTGGCCAGGCTGATAGTCCACACAGCCCCAGAGACAGAGCTGGCACAAAGGCTCCCTTGTGTTCACCATCATAGCTCAGTGGAGAGGCTCTGTCCTTTCCTGCCACCCCTCAAACTTCACCCGGCTTTACGCTAGTGCTAAAGTCACGTGCTCCATGTCTATTCCTCTATCCCATTCAAAATTACAGTACAGAAAAGGCAGAAAGAATGTGTTGTCTATCTTTCTGCACTTCCTTGCCTTTCAGAACTTGGGTAATTAGGATGGGATTTCTATTCTCCCTAATTTGCTAGGAACTAGGTTTCTGTGGGGAGGCTGGGCATCTGGGCCAGGGAGATGGTGACCACTTAAAGATCAGTGGGGGTGGCACTGTCATTCATGAATGTATAAAAGCCACATAGTTTCCACATGGTTTCCAGTCACTTTCAGCCAAATATTTGTCTTATTAATATTAAGTGAAAGTGCTTTTGGCTGTTAAGAAAACATTACTATAAAATGTGTAAAATAATGATCACACCCTCACTACAGTTTATAACATCTCCTGTATGGAAAACAGATGTTTTTATACTCGCTCTTTATCATATGGGAGTATGATAGGTAATGAGAACATCAATCCACATGAAATAATAACAATAAATTTACTGCATCTTCCTAACATTAGTATCATCTCAGATTGCATCATGCCACTTTTCTCTGTGAGGTTAATTTGGGCTTCTTTTAAACTTTGCGGTATTCATCTCAGATACCAGTTCAATAGTCTGATTACCAAGGCCTGATGGAGTAAATCTGTCTTACTTTGTCAGTTGGCAAGGGCAGGAGGATCCGGTAGCGGATGCTGATTCTCAAGCGTCATTCAGCTTCCTGGTAGAAAGGTCTGTGGCTGAAGCCCTCGCCTGAGCTGAGTATGAACGCATTTGGTAGTTCTGCAAATGTCTGCATATACCGAGAATGCAAGCTCTGGAGGGCATGAGGGCAAGTACATAGAGCGATGCACATCTTCCTTAAGACAGGGATTTGTGGGACCTAGAAAATGGTCTGTATCTGCACGTGTAATTTCTCAAGGTTGGCAAAATGTGTAGATCATAAGAGATGGTTCCGATACAGCATTTTCTCTACCAGAAATGTCTATTAACCAGAAGATCTGCACATTTATGGTACAAATAGTAATGATACTCTTAATTATGACTCCTAGGCAACATAAAATCCTGGCCAGCCTTTGTGTTCATCAAAGTCAGATTATTAAATTATGGTCACCGAGGCTTTAGTGTCAAATGCTTTTTATTGTTGTATAATTCTTTGAGAAAGGGAGATCCGTGTAAGGTACAGATGCAGTGCTCCATTAACCAGGATATCTGATTGAGACAGAAGGTCTCATCCATCAGCTGGAAAGCAGAGTAAACTGAAATGTGCTCATAAAGATACAAACAGCAGCCCAGCCAAGTGCAACTTCCATTATCTTGGCAAAGGTAGGAGGTGGAGAGGTGAGGCTGGGGCTGTGTGGGTGTGTGGGCAGCATCCAGACAGGGCACTTCTCTGCCAGGTGAGGCTTGCTGGGGAAGTGGTTTGCCCAAAGTGATCAACTGCAAAATGGCAGAGCATGATCTGAAATCCAGTTTCCTGCCTTCTGGAGTCAGGCTTGTCCCCACACTTTGCAGAATTCTCTCTGCCATTGGCTTCCGTGTTTGAGCAGCAAAGGTCTCCCTCTTATCTCTAATCATGGCAAGCTCACTGCTGCCTCAAGACCTTTACACAGATGGTTCTTGCCACCTGGCATGTTCGTCTCTTTGACATTGGCATGGTCGGTTCATGTAGTCATTCTCTTTGCAGTGTGGATTCTCTCTTAATGTTGATCTTCCCTGACAACACTGTCTAAGGCGAGCATTGGGTCACTTTCCATGATGTCATCTTGTTTTAATACCCTGTATGCGTGCTTCACACCAGTATCTTTTTGGTCACCTGTTTACCGTCTGTCTCTCCATGAGACAGCCCATGAGTCACCTCAGGGCTCACCTCAGTTGTGTCTCCAAGGCATAAAGCACATTGTAGGTACTCATTACTATTTGGTGAAAGGAATGAAGTTGTGGATTGTTTTAGGTGATTGTGCTTTGACCGCAACCCAGATCCAGCCGTTCGTCCATGTCCATCCCAATCCAGGACTGAGAGGCCTGAAGCCAGGCCCTCGGCCGACACCAGGCCCTCAGTCCTACCAGTGAATGGATGATGTGGAGGAGAAGAGCTTCGGGAAACAGGAGAACACCACCATGCAGGTGCTGCTGGGCATGCAGGGGAATGTCCTCCTCTGGTAGAAGTCATCAGCAATGAGGCAAGACTTATGCAGTCCCCCTCACTCCCCCAGACTGCCAAACGAGGGGTTTTCCTGGACTTGAGCCACAGGTGATAAAGTTAAAAAAAAAAGTCATAAACAAAAACAAAAAGTCTACCCAAGATCTCTCCAGGAACCATGTGAACCAAGAGTGAAGGAGCTGCGGCAAAGACATCCCCAGAGGGTCCTGGAAATCTCCCGTGCAGGTGCAGTAGAGTAGAAGGCAGGGAAGCCCAGGGTAAGAATTCAGACAGACTAAACCCAGGTAGAGTTGGCCAGAGCCCAGGTCTGCCCTGCTCACATGCTTGAGCTCAGAGAAGTCCTCTCTGTGGCTGGCCAGCATGACTGACGACTGAAATGGCAGTGCCTCTCTAGCCTCTCCCCAGGGACACAGTAAAGGCTGCATATGCCAGCAGGTGCAGGTGGACTTTGCACATGGCACAAAAGTCAAGCTACTTTTACAGGTCACAAACCCTGCCCACAAACTAATAATGAAGACCCAATTCCTCATAGCAACACTGGTCTAAACCGACAAACATTTATGATTCTAGGTTGGTCCCTGGAGCTCAGAGGCTCATGCATCTTAGACCAATAAGCAACCATGGTTCTGCCACAATAGCAATAACTGCACTAGCCATGGTGGTGATACTCACAGTTTGCATTTATGAAGAACATTTCATGGGCTGGACCATATTGTATGTACTGCTGTAGCCAACTGACACCAAACCCATGGAGTATGCACATTGCCCATTTCACCAGTGATGAAATAGAAGTGCAAAGAAGTTAAATTGCTTGCCCACCAAAGCTCACCCAGTTGGTAGGTGGGTCTGACACCCAAGCCTCCCTTTGAGCCACTAAGGCCTGTGGTCTTCACTAGGGGTACCAAGACCCAGAAGGGCCTGGCCACATGGGGAAAATGACAGGACTGGGTGGCCACAGGTGGGGGCATCTTGTTTCCTGAGAGTAAAGATGGTGATTTGGTTCATGGAAACACTGTCACCTATGGCTGATGGTTGGAAAGTCCCAGCAGGGCCTCCATCTTGTGCTAATGATTCTGCAAAAATAAAATGGGAGCTTAAAAGAGCTTAAACATAAAACTCCCACATCCAGGAAGGAGAATGTTAAAACTCTGATGTCCATCAAAGTAACATGGTGGTGAAAGGTTCCTTTTCCCTTTTGCTGATTGGACAAATTGCATTACCTGCTTCTGGGTCCTCCTTGGATAAATATGAAGGTCATTTCCAGGAACTTCTTAAGGTTGAACCAGGCTGCATGTGCCCAATAAGCAGTGACCCAGTGGAACAGCCACACTAGCTCTCAGAGGACCACAGGGGCATCCATTCTGACAGAGGAGCCAGACGGAGCTGGTTGTGATTATCTGCAGCATCCTCAGCTATGGCCTTGACCGGTTACCTATCCCTCTCTGGGCCTGTGTTCCTCCTCTGTATGGTGGGAACAATGTATCTGTTTCATTGAACAGGTGAACAGGAATAGTCTGTGCGATGTGCCTAACACTGAATTGGTTCTCAATAGAGTAGCTACTCCAGTGATTAGGACTATGGTTTTTAACAAAATATATATATATCTTTATCTATCTATCTATATGTATTTTTTTGGTATCATTAATCTACAATTACATGAGGAACATTATATTTACTAGACTCACCCCATCACCCAGTTCCCCCCACATACCCCATTACAGTCACTGTCCATCAGCATAGTAAGATGCTGTAGAATCACTACTTGTCTTCTCTGTGTTGTATGGCCCTCCCTGTGCCCCACTGCCCACATTATACATGCTAATCATAATGCCCCCTTTCTTTTTTATCCCCCCTTATCCCTCCCTTCCTCCCCAGTCCCTTTCCCTTTGGTAACTGTTAGTCCATTCTTGGGTTCTGTGAGTCTGCTGCTATTTTGCTCCTTCAGTTTTTTCTTTGTTCTTAGACTCCACAGATGAGTGAAATCATTTGATACTTGTCTTTCTCTACCTGGCTTATTTCACTGAGCATAATACCCTCTAGCTCCATCCGTGTTGTTACACATGGTAGGATTTGTTTTCTTCTTATGGCTGAATAATATTCCACTGTGTATATGTACCACATCTTCTTTATCCACTCATCTACTGATGGACACTTAGGTTGCTTCCATTTCTTGGCTATTGTAAATAGTGCTGCAATAAACATAGAGGTATATATGTCTTTTTCAAACTGGGCTGCTGCATTCTTAGGGTAAATCCCTAGGAGTAGAATTCTGGGGTCAAATGGTATTTCTATTTTGAGTTTTTTGAGGAACCTCCATACTGCTTTCCACAATGGTTGTACTAATTTCCATTCACAACCGCAGTGTAGGAGGGTTCCCCTTTCTCCACATCCTCACCACCATTTGTTGTTGTTTGTCTTTTGGATGGTGGTGATCCTTACTGGTGTGAGGTGATATCTCCCTGTGGTTTTAATTTGCATTTCTCTGATGACTAGTGATGTGGAGCATCTTTTCATGTGTTTGTTGGCCATCTGAATTTCTTTGGAGAACTGTCTGTTCAGCTCCTATGCCCATTTTTTGATTGGATTATTTGCTTTTTGTTTGTTGAGGTGCATGAGCTCTTTATATATTTTGGATGTCAA